TTTAAGAGCAAATCTTAAGTTATCTCTTAAATTGTATGAAGTCTGGTGCTTTGTAAATAAACTGTTTATAAAATTTATAAAATAAATTTATAAAATTTATAAAATTTTCTTACTAAGTTTGATTACAATAAATGCAATAAGAGTGTCTCTCTTCGCCCTTTTTTTTTTCTGTTTGGGAAATTGTGTAGTCCCTATCTACTAAGTATTGACTTCACTTTTTGGGCCTTACCTGATCAAGAAGGTGCAGTCTTCTGACATAACTGTAAATAAAATAAATCAATTAAAAATGATCAGTTATCAAAAAAAAAAAAATAATAATAATCATAATCATAACCATTTCAGTAAAAATTTCTTAAGATCTGACAAGTTTATTTGTACTGCTGATGATGATGATGATGACGATGCTGGTAGGACTCTGAGCTCAACTTATTTCTGTTGCCAATTGGTGACCCAAATCATTAAGTGGTCACTGAAAAGTCACTTGAAAGAGACTCTTAAATTCCATATTAAACCAAAGGAAACTGGCAATCATTTTTGGAGGTTCATGCAATTTCTTGAGGCCTGGTTCAAAGGACAAGTAGATTTTTCCAGTTGAAAAAAGAAAAATTACCAGTATTAAAAACATTTTCTAACTGATATCAATATTTGTTTTCTTAGTTCGAACCCAGCATAGTCTTTGTTAACTTTAGAATTTCAATCAAGTCACTAAGTGATAGCAAGTGGTTCAAATCATATTATTAATTCAAGGACCAAACCAACAAAAAAAGACAAAATAAAACATAATTATTATGAGTAGAAGCAAAAACTAGTTGCTCACCTTTCTTAAAGTTTGAAAAAAGGAAAATGAAAGTGAATAATCTAAATGCATCTACATCTACTAAGCCACAATATACTTTATCCAACACCAAACAAAGTTCAAACCTCAAAGGAAACTGACTTCTTTAAAGACTTAGCTATAGTATTGATGCTCTTTTTTTTCTTGTTCCTGGTGCTTCCATGTCACAGAAGAAAATTAACCTCTTTACTGCCAACCCCACTGAGAGGTCGAATGCCAATGCAAATTGCCTTATTTGTTTTCAGAATTTTAACTAGCCTTGACTTTGACAGTTGCCATGTCATTTTACTTTTCCAGTGTGAGGGACTTGACTGTTACTCTCTAACTACTCAGTACGTCATAAAGGCACAAATTGTAAATCGCGTGACTTACTCGGTCCATCATATGAGTAGTGAATGAGTTACAACCAAACAAATCACAATTTTTTTTTATGCCAAATAATTGAGACAGTCAGAGACTGGGAACCACTGATTGTAAATGTAAATTTGTTGATGTTAGATCTTAAGTTAAACATAAAAAGACTTGATAATTATTAAGTTAGAAACAAAATTATAATTCTGATAAGTTTCTAACAAAATGAAATAATCATGCAAAAAAAAAAAAACTTTCCTTACGCTCTTTCAGTGGTAAGAATTTCCATGGCAATATTGTACAGCTTCTTGCTTATTGCATCAGGAAATTCCTGTAAGAGAAAAATTTAAAATCATTATGATATAATTTGTTTGTCATAACATCTCTGTGGGGGATTGAAATACATATATCTTATTAACCAAGCGTGAGGGTCGTACTGGAATATCGGCCTGAGGTCTTGACAGTATGGACCGAGCACAGTGAGGCCTGTACAAAAGAGACAGAGGGCCGATATTCTTCCAGTACAATCCCGAGCAAGCTTGGTTAATAATAGATTTATTATACGACTGAAGTTCAAAGGGACACAAGTGCGGTACCATTCGGGACCATTTGGGACAGTGCCCGGTCCAATACTTAGAGAATATTGGACCGGCAATAGAGCATTTTGATTGGTTGATTTTAGTTATTGGCTCTCTGACTGCTCGAATCATGTAATAAAGGAAGCTTATTATGCTTTTACTTTCTACTCTTTTCCAAGTATATTAAGTAAAATATCACAATACAACTGTCACATACCATTTATTGACTGTTTCAGTTTTGGGATTTGTACCTGGGAAACTGGTTAAGTCCTTAACTTTTTCACTTCTCATGAGATTGGAATGAAAAAGGCATAGATTTCTTTGTTGGCTGGTCTTGAAAAGAAACTTTCACATCTAAATATACTCCATTCATGAAAATTTTCTTTTCCAAATTTCATTTGATGATTAATTAATGTTAGCAATTTATATATTAACAGTTTGTTAAAATTGTCAGGATGCCTTATAAGATAACTTTCATTGCTATCCAGGTGTACATGGGTTGGTTGTTTGCATACTAAGACATAATGAAACAAAAACTTTCAGAAGCTCAATTTTGCAAGCGTGGGAGGCCTGTGTTCATATTATAATAACCAAATGTCAATATTGTCCTAGGGGTTCAATAACTCTTTCCATAAATGGCTGTCAATGGTGAAATTAAGGCTGCTATGCCCAGAAAAGGGCCAGAAAGTAAAACCCAAACACAAGAGCCTCATGCTCACAGACTAAATAGATTGTGGCCAGAGGTCTTACAGACAGGCAAAAATAGATGTCTGTTCACTGTTTTCTTTTTTTTCTTTTTTTTTTTTTTTGAAATCCTGATCAGATATTCCCTTTGGTATGATAATATACAACTAATAATTCATGTAAATAGAATGTTTGCAGCATTTTAAGATGCAATTTATCACCGTGAGGCACAATAAACTTTTCTCTCTTATTTAAAGGTGACTAAAATTTCTACAAAACCAAGTCTAGTCATAGTGTT